TGGTGTAATGGTTATATTATAAATGTATCTGTGCTACCAGCCGGGTGATACAAAATAATAAGGAAATTGAAGACTATAAACACTCGAAATATATTAACTTCAGAATTGAAAACGAAAAAACCTTATTGATTAACATGACTTAAGTAATTTTTTGCACTACAAAATAATCATACTTAAGCCTTTTATAAAAAATGCAGCTTAATATCAATAAAAAAGATTCAAATGGATTGCTTACAGAGAGAAACGAGTGGTAACGATTTTCATTTCAAGGATACTTCCCAGTTTTTTTATCTACCTAAGTAATTTAAAATAGGAAAACTACAATAATACTTTTTGTCGACAGTATAAGGGAAAGGAAACATCACATTTAACACACAACAAAATATGAAATTATAAATAAAGGGCTCACAACGATTTTTTTGCGTCACTTTGGTTTTTAAGGATCACAAATAAATTGAAAGTTTTTGTTTACATCTAATACTTATGTGTCGAAAAGACAATATGAATAAAAAAATGTAGCCTCCGAAAGGAGAGTGTTGAGTTTAAAGATAGAAAACTTTACATCAGTTCAGGAAAAAAATGTTTATTGTTTTTTGTAAAAATCACGTCACCAAGCCACCGATGTATCAATAAAAAAGATTCTACAACTAGGCCTACACCAAATGTGGAAACCTGTAATTCTGAACAAACACTGAGAAACATCACTACGTAAGTGAACTCAATCCCTTAGCAGAGGCTGTCATGATCGTCACGCTTCAGCAGAGCCCCAGCCTATCAGCTAATGCAGCTGTACTCAGTAAATCAGGACTCCGCCCCCCAGGCCCTGGGGGCAACTTTATCTTCATCGACTCCTCCAGTAGACTTGTGATTCACTTGTCTTCCTCAGACAAACAACACCCTCTGTTAGATTGCGGGTAGTTACTACTCACTAATCCCTTTGAGGGGCGTTTATTTAGTTTGATACACCACAAAATAATAGAGACCACTGTAGATATGTTGGTTATGTTATTAAATTCAAGAATATTAATTTTTTTGATGCAATCGAGGGTCGTCCATTAATTGCACCAAACCCTCAAAGGTCCTAAAAAATGTTCCTTAGTTGGGCCAAGCACAAGCCAGGTAGGGGTAAGTTTCCGACAGGAGGAATGCCCCTGTATACGTGTAATCCTAATCTAACCTAATCTAATCTAAATTTGCTGTCCATACAATAATGCATACCTTACCCATAGAAGAAAACTTCTTTTGTTTGAAAATGGTTTTTTAAATTTTAATATACAATTTGTAATAGCTAACAAAGACTGTGCCATACCTATGATTACACTTTTAGAAACGAGTTTAGTTACTGACATTATTCTGTTTATTTAATAGGTTATTACTCTTAGCCATCCATTCAAAGAAAAATAAAATTTTAAACTTAATTGTTAATGAAAAATTAGGCCAACCATAAAATTAAACGTAAACTATGATAGTAGAAATCTCTTGATACTCTCAAAAATATTAAACTATTTTCAATAAGATCTGTACAAAATGAATTTTCAATCAAGAAAAGAAAATTCCTAAATCGTTGTAGAAATTGAATAGGTTCAGCAGAGAATAACCTTTCCAAGTTTATCGGTTTAGGAAGGTTTGGAATCAGTTCAATCGAGCGGAAATCGGGAGTATGGGTCGTGCATCGGAATGTCCACATTACTAGGCATCCTGAACCGGAGTACATGGAATACTTGCTATTCCTGACTTTTACATCAATTATCTGATTTTGTCCTGGGTATTTTTTATCAAACGTTTTTGGGGAAAATTACAGCATGAAAAAAAAGGATTATATTATTTATATTTTTACTTGCAAAATGCAAGTAAAATTTACTGTCAAATTTCACAGTTTTGTCACATAAACAATTAGTTTAACGTTAATTTTATTAACATCAACTACCTACTTCATCTAAACGAGAATTTGTACGAAAAATATTCATTACTATTTCATATAACTGATTACACTAAACTTTCAAGAACTGAGTTTGTCTACGATTAAGTTTGTTTTATTGTGTACGAATTTATCAAAATTACTGATTTAGGTACAATATCACGGTAATATATGCGACAGTGGTGGTTATGCTTACCTAAAAGAAATTACCGATGAAAGTACAATATTAACCACCAAACCTAATAAATTAACTGTAATCTCGAAACACACTCGCGACAGAGCATCCAAACGTGCGTTTTTCCACTTTAGAAGTAAAAGTTATTATTGAACAAGCTTACAAAAAAATACAACATTAACTTTTCATGACAACAATTACGATATGGATATTAACGGTTTTGTCACAAAACCAATACATACACTATTTGAACATAAATTATTGCTATCCATTACTTTATAAAACAATATTTTTGTTTAAACATTTTTTTGTGTTATGATTTCATTGAGTTGGCTATAAATAAATTTGATTAATGTTGGGCATATTGATTATAGCTTTATTTGTGCACTGTATTAGGTATGCCAAAATGTTCGTTTTGCTAAACTGAAAAACATAAATTTATCACTGCCTGTATATTAGTAACGAAACGATCAGAAATTTTGGGTAGGCCTACGAGCCTTGACGAGTGCCTTAAGACTTCTATGAGTGTCGTTAAGACTATTTACGCGAGTTGCGTATACTAAACTTGCGTATACCGTTTTTAATTACTATCACTACTCACAACTTCTAAGCGAGGTTATGTTTTCGTTCATAACCTTTCATTGCCCCTGACAGTGGTGCAACGACTCGTTGTACAAACCAACCGGTTAACTAGTTTTTGTAATAATCATACCGTACAATTCCGTGGGCTGTGTATAAAATATGCAATCTAGGACTTTTATGTGGGGTACATAGTACATAGGCTGGTATTGTCTTTAACCATTAATCAATTAATTTTAAGCTACTTATATAAAATTTGCTATCATATTTACATGTTAAAAGTGCTCCTGCATACTTATAAAAGTGGGCTTAAAACTGCCCATCATTCTTATAAAGCTAGAGTAGTTTAGCCTATGCTTATTTAGCAAACCAGAGACGAGAGTATGATTCAGTTAAACCTTTTTCTATAAAACCCTTATGTTGAATGCAAATTATATGCATGGTTAAATATATGTTAGTCAAATAGTATTTGTTAAATAACGATTGTTTTGGTTTTCATTTCATAATATGATTATTCTTCGGGTTATTTCCCATGCACTTGATAGTATTGATGTGAAGTAATTGTAATTGATTATGCTAACTACTATTGTATAAATGGTGTTACCGTGAATAAATAAATAAATAAATAAATGTGAACTATATGCTTCTTTCTCATTTTAAAATAATTTCAGGCAATTGTTACAGCATGTATATCTTTTACAAACATATAACTAAAGAAAGCACATTGATACACTTAAGATTTACTGGGCATAAACATACAAAAGAACTCTCCCCAGTAGATACGCGGGAATCCAAAAGGATAGTTGTTAATCTACGATTTAGCCATTCCACAATGGGAATAAATCTATCAAACAGTGTTGTTATGTGTGAATGGTTTAATCTACTATTCAGCGAATCCGTCAGCACGATACATTTATATAGGATGAAGTTGGGTCTACACTATGTTTTAGCCAATCCATGAGCCTGGTAAATATATACAGGGTGATCAACTCAAGGAGGCCACCATTGGGATATCGGAAACGGTAACAATTAGAAAAACCTTTAAATGGGGGACATTCCTTTTTTTTGTGGCAATTAAAAACATTAATTTAGTTTTTTTTTTATTCAGCCGCAATTTTCCAAAACGGTGGCCAACTTTGAAATTTCTTATGAAACACCCTATATTTGATTATGTTTTCGGATAGAACATGCAATTTAAACACTTTTTTATTTTTGGAATTTTTTTCATAAACCTACTAGTTTAGGAGTTACAGCCTATAAAAAAACGACTTCCGGTGTACTTGTTGCATCATGTAGGTTTATACGTAGGTTTATAGCAAAAATGCAAATGTAAATAAGTCTTAAAATTGCATCTACATTCCAGAAAGACCATAAAAACCTTAAAATAAACAGTTTTTGCACTTTTCAAGTTTGCTGCCATTTTGTAAAATAGCCGCCATTTTTTAAATAATAGAATCAATATTTTTTACGTATTTTATGATCTTTTAGGAATGTAGATGCAATTTTAAGACTTATTTGCATTTGCATTTTCGCTATAAACCTACTCGTTTAGGAGCTACATGACGCAACATGTATACCGGAGGTAATTTTTTCATAGGCCGTAACTCCTAAACGAGTGGGTTTATGAAAAAGATTCCAAGTACAAAAAAGTGTTTAAATTGCATGTTCTATCCGAAAACATGATCATAGGGTGTTTCATAAGAAATTTCAAAGTTGGCCGCCATTTTGAAGAATGGCGGCTGAATTTCAGAAAACTAAATTCATATTTTTAATTGCCACAAAAAATAAAGAAATATCCCCCAGATAAAGTTTTATCTAATTCTTACCGTTTCCGATATCCCAATGGTGGCCTCCTTGAGTTGATCACCCTGTATATATGGGAGGATGTTCCATTAATTTTGCTTCACTCTACATGTTTTCTGTAATGCATCTTGTAGTGTAGGGTTTCCCCTTATTGTGATAAGAAACAACCTGGATGTCATAAGGAAAATACACTAACTCTGCAATAAGGAAAGTACATAGTGCATCAGTACATTTATCAATGACTGTTTTATTAATGTAAAGATATGCATGGTTTTCATCAATAAATTCTAGTCCTACTTTGTACGTGAGCCAGAGATTTTGTTTTTTAGAATTAATGATTCAATATTTAAGTTAAATTGATATTCAAACTCGTTTGATGTAAAATTGTTGAGGTTATAATCGTTAGTTGTGTATGTAAATACAAAACAAACAAGTGTTTATCACAAAATAGTACGTATGGCTAAACAAAACATTAGTATTTTATTAAACAGATAGAAGAATGGATCGGTAAGACATTCGTAGATTACAGGAAACCTTTCTTTCCTCAGTAGTCCTTTTTACCAATAAAAAATGGATAAGACAAAATAATAAATCTATATGGCTTAAATATTTTGTTAATGCTTCGTTGAAATACACGAGTGAGATGCTCCGTATCAACAAAAAATCATGTGAGTAAACGTTGAAGACTATTTTGTATTTTAAAAATGTTACAATGATTAGATATATGAAATTTGGGTACTTTCCTGTTAAAGGGAACATTCATTATTATCGATGATTTTTTCCTCGATATATCGATGTTTTTGTTTTCCGATCCATTACAAATTGACAACAACTAACTGATCTTGTTGAGGCTAAAATAGTCTGTTATATGGATTAAGAAATGAAACTGTTCTAAGCTAACCTAACATAACCATATAGCGATTAACCATAGTTAGAGGAAACTTGACTAAGACTACCATAAGCATAAGCATAACCAACCAAACTTGCTGTACCATTTAAAAAAATTAGTTTGGGTTTGAATATAAAAGGCAAGTTATAAACACGGAATTTTTAAATGTTACAGCAAGTTTTGGCTAGTTATGTTAAGCTATTTTTTTAACAGTTTCATTTCATTAATGTTTGTTGATACTGAACAATATTTTTGTAGTTGTCAGCTGATAAGTTTCAATTTGTTAATATCGATATATCGAGAAAAAAATCATCGATAAAAATGAATGTCCCCTTTGACAGGAAAGTACCGAAAATTGTTTGTATTTATTTTTAAATTGATCCAGAGATTTAAAAAGTAGGCAATTTTTTTACGTGGGTGAAATATTGTAAGTAGACAATATTTAGAGAGGATTGCTATAAATACCTTTATTTAGGTAACCAAGCCTAATCTATTTATGTATTTTTAGATAAATTAAGAAGATTTTTTATTAACTATCACCATGTGTGTAGTACTTATCAGCATTGACGTCCAACACATTTCTGTTGTTGATTGTTAGGCTTTTTTATTTTGCCCCATATAACTTGAAATACATTTATTTTATTAAAACAGTAGTCGCTTTTGATACGTGTACTTATCTATATTCTGGAATAACACCCAATGATATAAATCAGAATATGTAATAGTTTCTTATTGTTTCTAATAATCAAGAAACTAAATGACTAATGATAATATTCATTTTCTAAAAAAAAATACCATTGGCCTAGCCTTAATTTATTTTACTTATCAATACTGTACTTCCAATATAAGATAATAGCAACTGCAGTTTCCTTACATATCATGGATTTTTTGATGTTGTAAATGTTGAGATAAGCCCTTAAAACATATAACAGCTGTTTAAATTAAATAACCCAGTTCCTTAACAATCGATTGCGTATGACTCGTGCATATTTTTCCACGAACAGATACTACAGATTTATTACTGTAGATAACGTATGCCTTCAGTTAGTAGGTGAGTTTTCCTTGTAGGCGACACACCATGGCGGCTCTCAAGTATACACCTCTAGATCCCCAGCTGGATGAGCTGATCCAAAGGTCATTCCGCGGACGTCGCCAGATCCTGTGCGAGGGGTTCATGGTGACGGTGGGCTTCAAGGAGATCGCCGATGACATCCTGAACATGGAGGTCCGCGAAGACGACGTATGGGTGTGCACCTACCCCAAAAGTGGTTAGTAAGACTACGTTTACATTTGTGACTAGACTGACATTTTCACATTCTATTATTGGCTGGCTTTTATTTATGTTGAATATTGCCACAAATATTTATCTATTGAAGATATATCAGTAAACGACAACGGGACAGAGCCCAGCGACTTTAGGAAGGAAGGACATGAAAATAAGGCTTACTGTAAAATATACAACTACGTTTAAACAAACAAAAAAAATTTTGGAGAAATAATAATCTGACGTGACAATACTAGTTTTTTTTAAATCTCAAAATGAGCTATATACTCCTACGTTAATTGAAAAGTCTTTGTATACAAAATATGGTTAAATTTAATTATATGCTTTACTAAAGTAAAGAACTAATCTATTATCAAGTTTAAATCCTAATGATTTCTGTCACTCATCCACTTCATGATTGGAAAATATTTAATTTTCTAGATGAACGCTAAATTTTTAAATACTGTAAGATCGGAATTGAAATTCCAAAATTACAACGAAAACAGCTAACTAAAAAATAAATGCCAAACTCACAATATAAACTGAAATTGTGGATAGGATACTTCTGGTATAAGTCTTAAAAATCATATTATAATATTTGACAGCCACAAATAGCTAAACCACACATTGCTAGATACAGATGAATATTAGGTAAATAAGACCAAGTCATTTGATAAATCGATTAGTTGATTAGATTACACAGAGTTTTGCGGTACTGTTGGAGAAAACCATCAAAGCCATATTTTATTCTAAATCACAAAACTAGGCTACACAAAACATTCAAGATTTAATTTGAATCAAATTGTATACAAAGGATAGTTATTTTACATTAAGGTTTCCACTCTTAGAGTAAGTACAATTATTTGTTTTTCATATAAAAACAAAATACCACATTACCTCGAACCTTTGAACATATGGAAATGAAGTTGCTATTTATTTAAGTGTCCACCTCCGAGTTAGCTCTTGTAACATTTTTAGTACATTATTACAAATACAGAGGTAAAATATCTAGTTCAATCGTCATCACAAAATACCTAAGTATACGATTTTATGTTGATTGATATATACTGAGTATTTATAAATAATTCAAATAGTATTGATTAATTGTATACAGCCTTACTGTTAGGATTCATACAGGTACTTAAAATCATATGATTTACACATTGAAACTAACACAAATGTTATTCAGGTACTACTTGGACAGAAGAGCTGGTCTGGTGTATAGCGAACGATCTTGACTTCAGTGGGGCCAAAGTCTCCCAATGTCTTAGATTTCCTTTCCTAGAGTGAGTATAGTTGTTTTGAGTTATTATATAAATAAGTCATTATATTGCAGTAAAGCTTTGGACGTGTAGATTTATAGTTTCCTAGTAGTGTTAATCAAAAACCTAGGTTTACTGCTGAGAAAAAAAATTATAATTGTTAAACAATAAAAGATAATTGGCCGATTGTAACTGAAGTATGTTGATAAGCGAACTATAGTAAAACAGATAAAATATATAGTTGTCTAACCCAATTGGATTAGTCACTGTGATAATTTTACAAGGTGTCCAGTGAGTTAGTACTGGTAATAAAACTTAGGAATAGAATTATATAGGTAAAATAAAGCTTTAAACCAAAAATATTTTTTTACGAAAACCCCTTGTCAGTAAAATGTTCACCATACTATTTTTAAATTAAATTAAATATCTTTAAAGCTATTGGAACTTTATCAAATTTTGTGTATGATTTCTAGTAATACACTATTTTTTTAAAACTTAATCATTTTCAAACATAGTTTCGGTTGTATTGACGAGCATTGGGTCCTTAATAACTTAGATTTGAAAACAAAATCCACAGTAGCCTAAGTTTCCACTGTACATTTTACTGGTCATTTGGTAGAATTTACAATGTCCTATAAAACGACATGTTCAAATATATTTTATTACTTTTATTACCTTAGTTTAAACACAATTTTGTATATTGTAAACACGACGTTGTGGCGAAATATTTATTATTTTTATTTTGAGAGTTTCGTTTTATTTTGGCCCATAAAACATATTTCTAAATTGTTTTCACTTTGTTGTACTTTCGGGGTTTCCTCCCTGTATACAGTATGAAAGTTGTACTATTCATTTTTTCATGTAGGCCCTAATGTATTTAATATTCAGAGCTAAAAAACTAAGAATCCAATCCCGAAAACTCTTCTGTTTCTATACTCGTTTTTAAAGATGTTAATCAATATTTTCAGATTCACACAGATGTTTAGAGGAAGAAACGACACACCCTCAATAGACAAAGAGAATCTCGAACTACCTCTTCGTGTGTTAACAAATTCAGTCGAGTTTGTGAAAGAGATGAAATCGCCCCGTTTTATAAAAACTCATCTTCCATTCTGCTTGTTGCCATTACAACTGCAACGTGGAATTGTGAAACCAAAGGTGTGTAAAGACTGACTGCTAGCAATGGTATTTTTTATGAAAATCCTTTATTAATATAGCATTATCTGAAATATTAAACAAGCTTTTTCAACTTTATTTCTTCGGGCCTCAAAAGATGAATATTATTTCCAACGGTGTACTTCATGCTACGCTGTGGGTGTTATCAATATTTTATCATGCGTCACAAATCATTGGCCTACTATCACCGCTAGATGACGTAGCTCTTTTTATTGGTGCCATGAACTCGGAATGAGCGATTAAAAATGCCCTCATTTGTATGTTACTTCGTATTGTTGTGAGAATTGTACAAATAAAGTTATCTTTGATTATACAATTTGATCAAACACAGCCATTGTTACTGAGCAGTGGTTCAAGAGTCGGATCGGTAATAATCATTAAAATTTGGGAGTTATGCTATAAGCTAGATACAGTTTATGTTTATGTTATTTTGGGCGGTAAATGTTGGAAACTGGATTACTATTTTTACTAAATTTAATAAGTTTTCAGATCATTCATGTTCACCGGAATCCCATGGACCTCTGTATATCATACTACCACCACAGCCAGTTGATGATGGGATATAACGGCACTCTTGAGGATTTTGCCGCTTTGTTTATAAAAGACTCCTGTAAGTTCCCAAATAAGGCCATTTGGAAAATAGACAACCTAGGGTAATTCTTTGTAAAATAATTGAACGGCAAAAAAAAATCACAAACATTATTTGAAGAGGTTAGTTTTTAATAGCTTAATTATAATATGATGGCTTTCTACGACGAAGAGTTCAACAGTATTTTGAGTTTCCAGATTTGGTAAAATTGATTGGTTCTTGTTTTTTAAAACAAAATGTGGATATCTAAGGCATAATGTGCAGTTGAAAAAAATCTTACATCCCTGTACAAACATTGAAATGATGATAAAGTAAGCTGTAAATATTAAATCAAACATTAAAAAACATATACGTAAACAATTAATTTGGTAAATTTTTTCACACAATCCAACTTTATTATCTTTATTATTGTTGCTATATTTCATCGTGTATATTTACCAAGTAATAACATAAAAAATATTATTTTTTTTAAATAAAACCATAGCCAATATTTAATGGAATTTATAATTTTACTTGAATAAACTCTTCCTGAAGATAGAAAATAGCAGATTTTTTGTGTGTATGTAACTCAAAAATTAAATTTTAGTTTTATTTAACTAGTTCAGTACAAATGTTTTGTTATTTAGAATTAGAAAATATTTTACTGGCGAATTACCATGTAATGCAATTCTCTTTGTTTTAACCAAAATGATATTATTTATTGATAATTTTGTGGTTTCAGTGCTATGTACACCTTTCTGGAAGCACCATTTGGGATATCTGGAAAAAAAGACTGATTTTAACATACTCTATCTTAAATACGAGGATATGAAAAAGGTAATGAATAGTAACAGTGCGAATTTTAAAGAGAATATTTCTCTACTATCCTTATCAAGGGGAGCGAATTGATCTAGTGGAAGAGTGGGGGGCCCGAGGTCCCGGGTTCAAATACCGCCGATCACCAATGAATTTTATCCATGTGATAATGCAGCAACCCTCTATTACTAGCCTGAAGTAATGTGTTAAACAGATCCGGGCTAGAAATAGGGTCCTATGATGTGAAATGGGACAAAAGAACTTAACTATCCTTATCGAAGTATAGGTTAAATTTTGTTACAGAGGATGTAATTCGTATAAGCATTATGTATATACATTCCAAGTAGAAACTTACTAACATTAGGTAGCTTTGTACTACGGTGCACTTATCATTATTACTACCCTGAAATTGGTACCCTTACACCTGTTCCTTATTAAGCTTGTTTAACTGTGCAAGCAAGAGTACAGTATAGGGCTAACTAAGGGAGCTTCCAACCATATCTTTTGTCATTTTATAATTCCTTGGTATTTATATCATCGTAAAAATCTTCAGAAAGTATTTAATAATGATCGAGAATGTAATCACAAAACAAAAAAGTTCTGTGTATACTTTCATATAAATCCAACACCAGGAACCCCCCTAGACATTCTTGTAGGTTTTGGGAGGGGGTGGTGGTAATGTAAATCAAATAGTGTTTTATTTTTCATCATAAAGTAGTGAAAAGGACTTATATGGTAATCCAAAAACGTACGATTGATTAAACTATATTTTTCATAATAATATCCATTATTATGCTTCTCGCTAAAATCAGAAAAACTTTCTAGGATCTCGCATCCAACGTACGAAAAACAGCAGACTTCCTCAGCAAGCCTCTGACAGATGAACAGGTCCAGATGTTGTGTGACCATTTGAGCTTCAACAACATGAAAAACAACCCAAGCTCCAACAACGAGGACGTGGTCAGCATGACAAAGAGGTTTAACAAGGTTGAGAGTGAGGGGAGATTCCTAAGGGAGGGGACCGTGGGGCAGTGGAAGTCAAAGTTCAGTCCGGAATGGGTCTCTAGGTTCCGTAAGTGGACTGAAGCTAATGTCCAGGGAACAGAACTTGAAAACGTTGTAGAAATGACAAACGGTGTAATCAATGTATAGAAGTAATTGTAGTTTAAATACTTGGCATCTTTGTATAGTATCCTGAAAATTCTGGTAATATACTGGGTGTGGAAAAAACCGAAATATTTTTGCTCAGCGACAGGTGATCTGAGGGTGGTGGGGGTAGGTAGAATGGTCGCCTGAGCTACGTTTGTTTGTTATCAAATCGTTTAGGCAATGGTTCAGTCATTGCAACTTAGTGGCAGTCTTGCGCACTCTTTTAATTAGGTCGACATAGAGAGGTCCCGTCACAATTATCTGTAATGGAATATCAAAATGCTTTAACATGTGACGTAATTTTCCTGGCGGACGACAAGTGGGAAATTACGCCACCGGTAATAAAACGAGGATCCCAGGATTCGCCCTAGTCTGGTCGCGGGGAGTTTCCCAGGAGTCGATAGTGATTCGGATAGCCTAAATTTGATAGCCCTGGTTGTCAGAGCTCGAGACGAACGTTACGGGTTACTAAACACCCAACTAGAAATCACCACTCTAGCCTAGGGCTTGTGGGGAAATTAATAATTTTGCTTGACTCTGTGGGCAAATATCTAAATGACACACTACTAGCTAACTTAACGAATCAACAAGTAAGCTAAGTAGTCACTCCGCTTACCTACGGAGTTAAGTTGTCAACCTGAAACAAACAAGGTTAGAACAAGAATAGGCCTAACCTAGTCTAACTCCCACAGAGTCCGAATTTACTAAAATGATAAGAAAACAAGTTAGCCTAAGTGGTCCAGGTGAGGAACGAACAAAAAAAAAGGAAACTAAAAAAGGTGAAACTGCTCCTTGAGCCAAAAACGAAAACTAAAACTTTAACTTCCTCACGTGTTCAACTTAGACCAACTTCGACAGAACTTGTCCAGCAGAGACCTGTCTGCTGGAACAGACTTTGGTACGTTTGGGGAACTTTAAAAAAAAGGGTTTTAAGAATTAAAAAAGAAAGTCCCAAGACGGATTATGAAACGTAATTGAAAATATATTTCACCAACTGCAGTACTTTACACAAATTGTTGGTTAAGGCGTATGACTAGGTCTGCGAATCAGGCCTAGCCTTCAAGTTCAACCAAGTTTCGTACACGAAAACTGGTCAAGTAATATACAATAATCTGTAAGTTAGTTACAAAACTTACCCGATGACGAAATTATATCAAAATATTCACTACGAAACAATACATACGAACTTAAGCTTTCAGAGCTTGCGATACGAACTTTAACTTGCACGAATTTTCGAGAACGAACCAAAAGCGAAACAAAACTTACCGAAAAGCCGGGCCGGGATTACGAATGACAATTCTCCTCCACAATTCTTCTTCTTCCCTCACCTTCGTCTCAGAATCGAGACGAAAGTTAAAACGCTTCCTGATTGGTCAGCACAAACAGAGTCAGCTGAGTCCCGTGTCAGCAAAGGCAGGCGTGACAGCTTTAACATGCTTTATAGCTGCCTCGCTCACAAGGTGGATCAGCTGCTCTTATTCTCTCCCGTAGCCCGCCCTCAGACGCAGTCGAACAACCAAACAACCAAACTGACACCAACGTCGTCTGCTGTCTTGGAATTGGAGGTTAGGTGCGATGTCAGTTTAGCGTCGCGACTAGGGCACAACAACAGCTTACATTCAGCTGTTTAAGTTTCGTGGTTTAGCCGTTATTTTACCCCCTACACATTTGACCCGTTACACCCCCTCCACACTTCGGAACGAAAAAAAAAGAAAAACGAGAAAAAGAAAAAAAGCTGTTGAACTTTCCTGCAGATGACACATCAGTAGGATCGTGGGCAGGAAAAGTTGACAGAAGCCGATGCCGGACCCCGTTGGTCCGGCTGCTCCAGGGTGTTGACGACGAAAAGTGGGCGAAATTAGGAATGATGTAGACTGTCTGAGGCCGAGTTGCCTCAGAGGTCTGGACGAAAACGAATCGGGGCGAAGAGTAACCAAAGGTGAAGAGTAGGCGTGGGGTTTACAAAGGTAGGGTAGTACGGCAGGCTCGGAGTCTTGGAAGCGGGGCGAAGAGCTACTCACGAGGATACGTCACCCCCAGACGAGGGTTAGCTATGGCTGCTTGTCGGCAGCTTGACGTGGCCGATAGGACTGACGAACAACGGATCACCAGACGTCGCTGCGGTTGCGGGATCCTTGCAGACTAGTCACGTGCACAGAAAGGTTTCAAGTCTTTCACGTGAACGACGTGCACTGCAGCGGTATCCTCATCACGTACCTCGTAGAGATTAGTACCTCGACGACCGACCACAATGCAGGGGCCATGATATTTTGGTGCTAATTTCCCTACGATGGCGTCAGCAGCGGAAGACAGGATGTGAAGTCTTCTCATCACCTGCGCGCCAACTTCGTGAGTCACCTCCCTACGACGGAGGTTATAATATGTCGATTGCCTCTCGTAGGCAGCCTTGAGGTTCTTGTGTGTCTGCACGATCAGACGCTGAAACTCATCCAGTCGTTTGCGATGGGTCTCACTTAACGAGGGACCTTGGGGAGTTTCAGACACCTCAAGCGAAAGGCCACGGACGGCACAGGGAGGCTTCAGTTCACGTCCGAAACACAGCATCGCGGGAGTGAATCCAGTAGAGTCGTGGACAGCTGTGTTAAGGGCGTACTGAAACTCCACCAGGTGGTTGTCCCAAGACCTATGGTTGCCTTTCACGAACTGCGCAATCATAGTCTTCACCACCCGGTTCTGCCTCTCGACTGGGTTTGACTGTGGGCTGTAGGGGGCCGTTGTCTGTAGCGTGATGCCCCACTCATCAGCCAACTCTCGAACCAGTTTACCGACGAACTGCGTGCCGTTGTCCGTAATCAACACATCCGGAGCTCCATGTCGAAGTAGGATAGCCTTCAGCTTCGTCACCACATTCTTTGCGGTTGCAGACGCAATGGAGGCGAGTTCCGTCCATTTGCTGAAGGTATCCTGCACCACGAGCAGAAATCGCTGACCCCGCTGTGATCTAGGCAATGGGCCTACTAGGTCAGCAGACACTGCGTACCACGGTCCTTGGGGTTGTCGGAAGTACATTTTCCCAGCTGGTTTCGTTTGGGGTACTTTATAGGCCTGGCATTGGGCGCAAGACCGTACATAGGCCTTCACCTCACGACGCCAGTTAGGCCAAAAGTACTCCCCACCAACTCGGGCTAACGTCTTCTTCACCCCAAGATGTCCTGCCGTAGCCGTGTCGTGGTTTTCGTGCAGTACCACGGATACTTGGTCGCTTGGCACACACACCCTCCATGTCGTAGGTTGATCCTTCCTCGAGACAGCACGGTACAGCTTACCGTCGCGAAGCTGGTATCTCGAGTATCGCCCAGGGTGTTTGCTGACCAGATTGCGAAGGCGGTCATACCAAGCACCGTGGCTGCCCGGCGGGTTACCATCGTTGTCCGCGTCGGATGATGGGTCGTCAGTCTCCTGCTGCGTCGGACCAGGAGCTTCGTGATCGATAACGTCACCCGCCGGATCATCGCCGAGTGAAGGTTCGTCACCTTCAGCATCGGTTAGGCGTCGTAACCGCAACTGTTTCCTAGCACCGCGTCTGGTTAAAACTCCGACCTCAAACGTAGGTTGATCGGGTTCACCAGACGAGCTGGGCACTTCAGGGACCGGCTGACGAGACAGGGCGTCGGCCACTCTGTTCGCTGTCCCCTTGCGGTACCTTATCTCGAAGTCGAATTGCTGCAACTCCATAACCCACCGAGCCAGGCGCCCACTAGGCTCACTGAGCTTAAGCAGCCATTTTAGGGCGACATGGTCGGTTATCGCAATGAAGTGGTAGCCTTCGAGATAAGCCTTGAATTTCCGAACAGCCCACACGAGAGCGAGACACTCCTTCTCGGTAGTTGTGTAGTTCTGTTCGGCCTCAGAGAGTAGCCTACTGGCATACGCAACGACCACTTCTCGGTCGTTTACACTCTGAGTTAACGCTGCTCCCAGGCCATAATTCGAGGCGTCGACCTGGAGCACGAAGGGTTGGCTGAAGTCGGGACAGGCGAGAATCGGGGCCGTCACCAAGGCGTGCTTCAGAGCTTCGAATGCCTTAGTTTGTTCGGGTCCCCAGAGCCACTTGGCGTTCTTCTTCAGCAAACCTCGAAGCGGAATGGTTACTGAAGCGAACTTCTCGACGAATCGCCGATACCACGACGCAAGGCCTAGGAAACTGCGAAGTCCCTTGACGTTCGTGGGTGCGGGGAAATCCTGAATGGCGCGGACCTTCTCAGGATCCGTGGCGATTCCATCTTGGCTCACGATGTGTCCCAGATACTTCAGCTCCCTACGGGCGAAGTGACACTTCTCGGGGTTTAAACGAAGGCCCGCCTCGCGTAGGCGGCGAAAAACAACCCCCAGAAGTTCTAGATGCTCCTCGAAAGACGTCGACACTACCACAAGGTCATCAAGGTACGCGAAGACCTTCGGCTCCAGCTCAGGCCCGATGACTCTATCCAGAAGGCGCTGGAAGGTGGCACCGGCAGAGTGTAGGCCAAACGGCATGACCTTGAACTGAAAAAGGCCTAGGCCTGGCACAGTGAAGGCGGTCACGGGGCGACTGTCGACGGCCAATGGCACTTGCCAGTAGCCTTGCTTCAGGTCCAAGGTACTAATAAACTTGGCCTGCCGGAGCTTCTCAAGGATGGCGTTAATCCTAGGCAGAGGATAGGCGTCCTTGATCGAGGAGTCGTTCACCCTACGCATGTCGATGCAAAAGCGGTATTTCCCAGTCGACTTCCGGATCAACACGATCGGAGAGCTCCATGGACTCTCGGATGGTTCGATTACATCATCCTTCAGCATGGCAGCTACTTCATCGTTGATGACCGCTTGCATTGCAGGGTTACGAGGGTAGTGGCGCTGTTTGATCGGGACAGCGTTTGGTTTGAGCCGGATGACATGCTCAGTCAACGCCGTGGGTCCCACAACAGCATCGAAGAGAGGAAGTTCTTTCTCGAGAAAATTCTGGCGATGTCGTTCTTCCGTTGACGTCAGCGGTTCCAGTGTGCCCGTCGCACAAGGAAGAGTCGTGGTCGTGTCGAAAGTGCCATCGTGGTTGACGTTTATTCGTATGAGGTTAAGGTTTCGAATACACCTCATACCCAATACGACGTCCGTGGTGAGCCCAGGCACAAAATAGGCTCCGAGTATGAGGTTTTCACCTAAGATCTGGGCCGGGATGTGGTACTTCGTCTCAATCCGACAACGTGTACCATCAGCCATCCTCAGGTCCGCCGAAGATATCTCAGGTTTTACCCCACACTCGTCGAAGTGACGAACAACCTCATCC